TTCTAAGACTCCACCTGTGTATTACCCAACAACACGCAACGTCAAACCGCGCACCGTACAGGCCACGCAAAAAGCCAAACACCGCGTAACTCGCCACAACAATCTTATAAGCTGCAAGACTATTTCTATGCTAGTGGTCCTAAACCAGGCAATGTAAATTATAAATTCTCCCAGAATATTATTAACATGATAATTGTCTTAGTCATAGTGTCTTAGTAGCCCTTAGTACAAATCGTAATGGATTTAAATTCGCATTCTAACACCCAACACTGCTTTATTCAGCACACACGCCCTAACGCAGTCACGCGCGACTGTGAGCACGCGAGACATGATCAGCAGCCGTACACACACATGCGCGCCGCGATCCGACAACAACTCACAGCGCACGACAAATCACACGCAAACCGGCCCGGTGCCCAAACAGTTGGCACCCCAAATCTAACCGCTTGACGTACGCCACGATACTGGGACGTGGGATAATAATTCGAAACAGAGTCTTGGCGATGTTAAGCTGTCAAAGTCAAAGTCAACAGTGTAAAAGAAGCTGGAAACATTCCTCCTAACATAAGGTATAGGGGAGAACAGCAGATATTGCAAAGCAACAAATCTATAACGCTACCTACGCCTTTAATCAGTCGTGTATAACATCAACACGTTACGCACACTAACACAACCAAGCCATCGCGCACAGGGTGCCGAAATGAGTACACACGTCAAAGAAGATCAATGAGTGCACAGGCAATTAGAACAGCCGGGGGCGTTCTGCGCAACACACCACACACACACCAACAGCACACACACATATATATAGATATACCATATATAATATATTGATATAATTAGTATATTGGTTTGAGGGGAACGGTATCTTTCGGACGCGATTGCCATTTTAATTAACCTGGAACTGGGAAATGTCAGATAAATTTTCCGCTGTATTCGGGAATAAGAAAAGTCCAGTCGGACGTGGGAAAGACGCCTCCTAAAAATATGTCTGATCATGGGAAAAAGTTGTGTCAAATTGCGTCGGATTGTCAATTCTGCGCTAAATATTTTGTAAAATACTAAAAAAAAAAAATTTTTAATTAAATATGGCCCAAGATAAATAATAGTATGTAAATATTGAGTATTTATGTAGTGTTATGAAAACCTAAACTAACTGAATTTCCTGAAACATGTCTACTACTAATTTCCTGAAGCTGGGAATTGGGATTTTATTTGACTGGGAACTGGATATGGGTGTTTTTTGCTGGGAAAGTGGGAATAGTAACACCCCCCCCCGTCCCCCCCCTCATATTTATATAAATTTACTAAACAGCTAAATGCTACTGCTAGTACCACGTGCACAAAGCAACATGTAAATTGTAGGGTTTGCTATAGTTTTACCATGTAAAAACACGTGTGTTTGTATACATCTATGCTTTTACAAACATGTATGTGTTTACGACTTTACGTGATATTTATAGACCGTCAATAGTAAATTTACGCTCCAATAGCGTTCAGCAGAACTGTACGCCGGTCTGCATCGCAATCAACGTTACAGCCGGAACCGGAACCTTGCTGGCTAAAAGTTCTCCCGCTAACGCCTCGTCAGAGCTATCAAATTAGTATATACATAAGGCGCGTTCACACGGACGTTTTTGGCCCGAGCCTAATTAGGCCCGTGCCAGATTTGGTCTCATCGAAAACGTCGGACCAGGCCCGAGCCAACTTTTAGCACCAGCTTTCGGCGAGGGGTAGAGCGGTAGAATCGGTTGAGCGGTAGATGCCGCGAGTGTCGAACGTGTAGGCCTACTTCGACGAAATAAAGTCCAAAACAGTATAAAAATTCGAAAAATTTGATCAGGATGCACGTTTTCAAGATTGATAATTAAACTCGGAACGTAAGTAAACACTCTAAATCGTAAACAATGCCATCTCACGACATACTGCCAAAGTATCTGTGAGATATTTGTCCAATAAAATTTATTTGAATTTGAATTTGAATTTGACAGACAATATTCACTTGCGTACGTGTGAACGCGCCGACTCAAACCGGCCCGAGCCAAATTTGGCCCGAGCCAAATCTAGCCCATTTGGTTCGAGCCAAACCATGACCGTGTGAACGCGACTATAGATACATGTGTTTGTATATATCTGTGGTATAATTATAGAGATCAGTGATCCAATCTGCGCTACGTACCGGAAGTGGCGAGTACCACCATCTGTAACGCCCCCTACAAACGCCGCATCGGCTGGCGCGCGAGGGAGTCAGCAATCCATGATTGTTATATCTATGATATTATCTACAAATGCCACTAAAATTCTACATTAGCAGAAGAAACGGAAGTTGGAAGCGGAGCTGTTTAGTGCTGCCACGTAGTGGGAAGGGTGCGAATATTTTCGCCGCAAATTTCGCTGTGGATATGGCTAAAGCGAGGGTTTTAGTATAAAAGTTTTCGCACTATTGTTTCTCAAATGAGCTTGTAGGAGCTGTTTTGACATGTGCTATAGGCACAGTTTTCATTGTTTCACATGCATAACGTTTGTATTTCGGCAAGGATATTACTTTTTTAATAAGAAACCTTAAATAATTTGTGCTGTCACATAATTGTTGCGCTTTTCTGTATCTATATATATATCCATATTATAAGCTGTGTCTGCATCTTTGTTCCACCAATTCAAAATTAGTTTGGTGGAAGAGTAGTCTGAATTGAGTTATGTTAACGTGTAACACCTCGCAAATTGCACTCAAATTCGCTGGCCATGGGACGAGTTCCAACCAAACACACGCTCCATTGCATCACCAACTCCTGGGAATCGGATCTCATACACGAAGCGGTGTAGGCCTGTTTCTGGTGTCCCACCCGTCATTTCCAACAGTACCCTTCAAGAGTTTAAGCTGGCCTTTGTCTCAGACCTTCCCAGGGGATGAGTTGAGCAACAAGTACTCGTACGTTACCCCTAAAGCGAGCATTCCACCACCCTAACAAACTATGGGCTCACTTAGGAATATATAACAGGAACATACAATAAAACAACGTTTGTGGTGTGTTATACAAAAAAAGCTTCTTAGATAAGTAGATGCCACGGAGGAAATTTTTCATATAGAGAGTTTGTCGGTTCGGTTATTTTTCTTATTGAACTTGTTCCGAGTTAATACTAGTGTGCAACTCGTGATTTTGATGTAATAAACAAAGCAAAGACTAGCACTGCATCTTGCTAATATTTCTTCTGGTGTGTGCTGCCATCTAGTTGTGATAAAATAAAATAAAAAACTACATCGTGGTGGTTTATCCTAATGAACGAATTTGAACGTTCTAGTGAACGAGCAAAATGATTTTAATTATGATATTTAACTTTTAATAGGAGCAAGACAAAAAGGCTGAAGATGAGCGAATACGGACAGAAAACATACTTAGTGGCAATCCACTTCTAAATGCAACAAAGGGAGACTTTAAAGTAAAGCGAAGGTGTGTCTTTGTGTAGACATGGCTAGTTAAGAATGATTGACTATTAATTCGTTATTTCTAGCATCATGGGCATATTTATCTAGGTGAGACATGATTACTACATGTAATCTTTTGGTGTGTGATAATGCTTTTGTTAAAGGTAATTTTTACTCTTTAAATTAATTAATTTCACATATATATAGGTTTTCGGTCCATAAGTTATTAATGTGAGCTTTTGGCGTAGCTGATTGAAATGCGTGCATTTGGCAATATAATAATGTAACTCATCCAGTGCATCTATACAGGCGACCGTACAGTGGCGACATGCTGCATGGCGCCGCCACTGTATTGTTAACATCATTTTAAGAAAGGCAGCGGTTAGTTTTGGACATAGATTTTTCGTTTTGGATTTGAGCATGGTATGGCCCGACTCCTGGGCCCGACCAATATATATATTCTAA